GGGAGAGATGCGGCTTCCTCCATGACCGAAGCCTCCCTCACTCCGGCGTCGCTCTCCTCCACGTCTCCCCCAACCCTTTGTCCCCCTCCCACTCCCTCCCCCCTCCTCCCTTCCGCCTCCTTCTCGCCCCTGTCGCGTCCCCCACCCTCCGCGAGCCCCAGGCCGGCACCCGACGATTCAGAATGGACCGGGAACTCTCCGAGAAGTCCCGCCGCCTTCCGAAAAGGCCCTTGCCTTCTCACTTCCCCCCTCTCGCTCGCCGCCGATTCACGGCGAATTTCCATCACCTCCTTGAGCATCTTTTAACCGATCCCCACCCCCACCAGCGTGGCCTGGGCCCCACTGGCCGCTTTGCCCCCCTCATGAAGATATAGACTGCTCTCTTCGGTCTTCGAGGTGCATATCCCCAGCTGAGGTGGTGAAACGGTGGGGCTCGAGATGTGGATGGGGATGGGGATAGCGAGCGAGCGAACCACGCGAGCATGCCTGTCGGCTGCTGGGCACTGTGCAGGGCATGGGTGTACAAGTCGACTACCAGCCAGGCAACAACTATGAAACGTGAGCAGAATTTGGAAAGGGGAATTCGGTTGAACGATGGGTTGGTCAAACGATACTGACCCCTGGCCCAGGCCCCGCACCAGCGAGCTGAAGGTCACCTGCAGCCGGTTCAGCTGCGTGCCGAGGTCCAGGCACTCCGCGAAGGCCTGCGCGGCCCTCGCCGCCCCGCGCGGGGCAGCAGGGAAGCGGTGCGGCAGGCCACTCCGACATGGACACCCTGCTGGCGCAAGCCCTTCCTTCTCCCAAGAGGAATGCGCGACTCGGCACTCCTCTCCTCCGCCCTCTCCTCCCTCCTACTCCTCCTCCTCCTCACTCCTCCTCCCTGCCTCCTCCCTCCTCCTCCCCCTCCTTCCCTCCTCCTCCCTCCTCCTTCTCCTCCTCCTCCTCCTCCCTCCTTCCTCCTCCCTCCTCCTCCTCCTCCCTCCCCTCCTTCCTCCTCCTCCCTCCTTCCTCCTCCTCCTCACTCCTCCTTCCTCCTCCTCTCATCCTCCTCCTCCTCCCTCTCATCCCTCCTCCCTCCTCCTCCTCATACTCCTCCTCTCCTCCCTCCTCCCCCTCTCCTCCTCCTCCTCCTCCTCACCTCCGCCTATCCGCCTCACTCCCTCACTCCCCTCCTCCTCCTCATCCCCTCCTCCGCCTCCTCCCTCCTCCTCCTCCTCCTCCTCCCCCTCCCTCCCCTTGGCCCTTCCCCATGTGCCGAGCCTGAGGCAGGGCCCTCAGTTCGTCGCGTCGTCGTCGTCCATCAGGGTGGGCGGCACCGGCCGTAATGCCTTCGCTAGAGGGAAAACAAACCTACCTCGCTTTTGACCACCCTCGCTTCCAAGAGATACCAAACGATGCCAAACTGCGGCCTGTACTGGTCAGGCCGCTTGACGAGGAGGCGCGTGGTATGACATGGTTCTACCTGGAAGCGAAAGCGGGGTAGGTAATTCACGCTCTGATTCGCAATCTACGTCCTGTTGGCGCGACCCCCACTTCTCCCAAAAAAGAAATGAGGGACTCACGAGAACAATATTCAAATCCATACCCGTGGTGTCTTGGACCTTCCGGTAGGGGACGCCAGAAGGCCGAGGCGCAGCGGCCATGGACGCAGATCCAGGCTCTCGGGGCTAGAGTTTTGTCCATGCGCCTCGGGCGACTGGGAAAGGGAGCCCGACACTCCAAGATGCAATGGATATGGATATGCATCCTGCCCGCAGCAAAGAAGAATTCGGACGTGAGTAAATCGGGCATCTCTGAGATCTGCAGGAACTGGGAGAGCTTCCTGTGGCTTCCTGCAGCCTGCTGCGGGTTTCTGTGACCTTCGCAGGCTTTCCGAGCGCTCATGCTCGAGACTTACTCGCGATTTACTCACAATACTCCCGCTCGGGACGTCTTCCTTCATTTGCAGACGAGGTCTCCGCTCGAGGCATCCTGACGGTTTGCCCCCTTGGGGTGCTCAAGTGCGATGCCTGGAAGATGCTTCCGATGACAAGCTCGGACTACCAACATGAAGTGCGGGCCCCAGAGGGAGGGGGCTCCCGCCTGAGACTTCCTCGCAATTCACTCGCAGATGAGGCTCCCGCTTGAGAATTCCTCACGCTTTCTCCTTGGGGTGCTCGAGTGCTGGGCCTGGTAGAGGTTGCCGATGACCCGTTTGGATTCGAACGTAAAAATGCAAGCCCCATAGGGAAGGGGCTCCCGCTCGAGACTTCCCTCAATATGGGTATGTGAGTGTGTATGGTGATGAAGAGCGATGGTGATGGTGATGATGACGATCGTGGTGATGATGATGATGAAGATGATGGTGATGATGGTGCTGATGATAATGACGACGACGATGATAGCGATGATGATGCTGCTGGTGATGCTGCTGATGATGATGCTGCTGATGATGCTGATCCTGATGCTGATGATGATGCTGATGCTGAAGCAACTGCTGCTGCTGCTGATGATGATGCTGATGCTGATGATGATGCTGCTGATGATGATGCTGATGCTGATGCTGATGCTGATGCTGCTGCTGATGATGATGCTGATGCTGATGCTGATGCTGCTGCTGCTGCTGCTGCTGATGCTGCTGCTGCTGATGATGATGATGATGCTGATGATGATGATGATGATGATGCTGATGATGCTGATGCTGATGCTGATGCTGCTGATGCTGCTGCTGCTGATGATGATGATGATGATGATGATGATGATGATGATGATGATGATGATGATGGGCTCTCGTTCCTGCGCGGGGCGCCCAGGAACAACGAGAACCCCACTCAGGACGTGTGGAGGCCAAAACACCGCCCCCTCAGGCTGTGGGGACCTAAGCACCGTACCCTTCCTGGGTCAAGCAGCGATGACGCCGCGAGAGGCGCCGACGCGGCACTGTGCACACAGGCCGTCCGCGGACGAAGACCCGCCTCGCCCGCCCTCCTCGCCCACCCCCCGCGCCGCGCTGCCCGCGCCGCGCCGCGACCGCGTGCGCAGGCGCGCCAGAGTCGGGGGCGCGCAAACTGAAGGGACCCCAGGACACACAAATAAATACACACAAATAAAAGGATTCCCCATATTTTCTCATATTTTCTGGGTTTTTGTCTTCCCCCCCACTTCCCATAGTTTCCCATACTTACTTGGGGATCGACGATTAATTGTGTCTGTGTGTTTTCCCCCTCCTGACAAACATGGATTAGCGATCCATGGATTTGGCGCGCGGTAGCCAAATCCACGGATCGATGGGAGGTGCCCTCCCCGGAATGCGGCCGGCGCCGCCTCGCTCGGCGGCGGCACTCCGCGATCTCCCATGGAAACGACGGCACCCGCCGCTGATCCACGCCCCCCTTCATCCATGTTCGGGCGTTGGGAGAACTGGGTTTAAGGGAGCCTGGTTCAGTGATCTGTACCGGGGGCGCCCCCCCGTCCCATTTCCACGGCCCGGAACCGCCGCCACCCGTAAAAACACCAGCTGTGGCAAACCTGGTTCAGTGATTCTGGCCAATTCGACGGCTCCAGGGCCCTACCACCAACCGGGTCCCCTTACCCGGGGTCCTGGCCATACCCGACCTGAGTGGTCCTTGCTTCTGCATGGCTGCCGGCCGCTAGCCGTCCGGCGAGCAGAGAGGCGGGCCGCGGGCCGGCTGCTCCACCCCAGCACGAGGAGAAGCGGCCGAGCGGGGCCGGCTCGAGGCGGGGGCTTGCCGTCGCTCGGACGTCCATTTCCCGTGTATCTTTCGTTTTCGTGCGTGGTTTTTTTTGCTCGATGGTCTCCTTACCGGGGGTTCTAGCCATACCCGGTCCCCTTACCCGGGGTCCTGGCCATACCCGACATGTTTGCGATCGCCTGACAGAGGGTGCGCGCCCGGCGCGGAGCGGCCTCGCTCCCGCCCGCCTCCCCCGCTGGCTTCGCGCCGAACCTCCGGCGCGCGCGGGGCGGTCTCCGGCCGCGCTCCGGCGGCGACGCGCGCCGCCGCCGCCGCCGCCGAGGCCGCCGGCGGCACCGTCCTCACCACAGCGTCGCCGTGCCGTCGTTACCGCTTCTCGGGGCCGTCGTCGCTGTCGCCGTCTTCAGCGCCGGCGCCGTCGCCGCCGTCGGCGTCCGAGCTGAGGATGTCGCAGCCGTCGTCGTCCTCGGCGTCGTGGTCTTTTTGTCGTCGCCCTGGTTTTCCTCTTATCGCCCGGGGTAGCGTCACCCTCCGCACTGGCGGAGAAAGGGCCATCGCAAGCGAAGCGCCCCTTCGTGCCGTAGCCGCCGCGTGGCCCCCGGAGCTTCCACGGCGCGTGAGGAGCGCGGCACACCGAACGGAGGAGAACTCGAGCAAGGACCGACCGTTCCGGCATTCCGATAGGCCGACCACAAAATGGTCTCAGAAATATGAACAATGTTCTGAGAACGTACAGTGCAGGCGCCGCCACAAGAAACCCTCGCGAGAAACCCAACCCTGAGAGCACGTGCGCGAGGTGCACCTAAGGGAAACCCAGAGCACCCTGAACGCAGCAGCTCCCTCAGCGGCTGCGGGAAGTCACCGCGCAGCGCGAGGAGCGAAGAAACCCATGATACCCTGACGAAAACAATATGGCTTCTTGATGCGCGCCCCCACTGTAATGCCGATTGATTAGAACAAGCCTGTCAAAACCAAACATGCTTCAAAAGCATCTCGTGCAAGCAGTGGAAAGTCCTCAGCACATTCTTCGGTGGGCCTAGAGGAAATGTTTGGGCGCTTCGCCACCGCTTGGAGACTGGAGCCACCATGATCACTCGAGCGCAGCTCAGGGCACGACCACGCTGAAGGGGCGCGTCGGAGAAGACCCGACGCAGCAACAAGCTACTTTGTGAATCGTCGGAGCACCAACGGGCTCGGCGCGCGCGGTCGGGGCTACGGCGGGAGGTGGCAGCTGACACGCACCACGCTGCCTGCAGCCACCGTGCTACCAGGAGGAACGCTAGATCTTGGAACGACGGGGCCCTGCTGGCTACGGCAAGCCCTGGCCACGAATAGCGTCCCCAACTGCAGGTCGAAAGGGCAGCTCGAAAACCAGGTCTTGGAAAACAACTGCGGTCGGACCAAGGACAGAAGAGCATCCCTCAAGAACACGAGACCCTCCGCCAGCCAAACTGAAGAGTATGCGAGGGCATCCTCCCCCAGGATGCTCAAGAACATCCAACAAAGACGAAGAACATTAGGGTACCCTCCCCGTACCGACCTCGATCTTATACCTCAGTTCGACTGTTAGGGTACAAACAGAAACTTTTGGAAATTGGCACTGAATTTCCTGGATCCGCGGTGCACACCACTCCCGGGTGCTCGAAGTGCGCCAGGGGCGGCGCCGGAGGCTGCTAGGGTGCTCCAGCGTTGATCCAGAAATCCGCGCGGAGCTCCGAAAATGCATTATTCTGTCATGTTTGTCCTCCCAAGGGAAGGTGAAACAGGACGAGAAGGACATCGGGCGAAGAGACACCGAAAATCTCCGAGATCCAGCGGCTCTGGAGGATGTACCGGGCCTCGCGGCCTTCTCGGAACGGGTCCAGAGCGCTCGGAGAGCGTTCAGGAACGCTCGGGAACGGATGTATCCTCTGTCTGAGAAACTCCTCTCCTGACCCCTGATCGGGCGTTGGCAGAACTTGGTTTAAGGGAACCTGGTTCAGTGATCTGTACCGCTAACCGGAACTGCCGTCACCCGAAAAACACCGGCTACGGCAAACCTGGTTTAGTGAATCTGGCCAATTGAGGGGCCCCAGGGCCCTACCACTAACCGGGTCCCCTTACCTGGGGTCCTGGCCATACCCGATTGAAGAGCGTTCAGGAACGCTCTGAACTGGATGTATCCTCTGTCTGAGAAGCTCCTCTCCTGACCCCCTGAGTGGTCCTTGCTTCAGCGGCATGGCTGCCGGCCGTTAGTAGTCCGACGAGCAGAGGCGGGCCGCAGACCAGCTACTCAACCCCATCCCCGAGGGGGAGCGGCCGGGTGGGGCCTGCTCGAGGCGGGGGGGAGGCAGCGCACTCTCACCATCGCTCGGACGTCCATTTCTTGTGCGTTTTTCGGCTTCGTGCGTTTTTTTTTTCTCGATGGTCCAGGATCGTCCTCGATGGTTCTCGCCGAGAAAAAATGCACACGTCCGAGCGATGCCAAGCACTGCAGTCGGCGACAGATCGACGATGCATCGGCCACGCGCCCTCGACAGCGAGGCGAGGCGTGCGTGGGCGTGGCGGGGGCCGTCGGGCCCACGTCGGCGTTGAAACCGGGCGTTGGTGGGGGTCGTGGCCTTCCCCCCCCCCCCCCCCGAGCCGGTTCTCTCCCTTGCCCGCGCTGCCCCTGAGCCTGTCGCCTGACGCCCAGCCTCTCATGCTCCCCCCCCCCCCTGCTGAGTCTCGCTCTTGCTCCCCCCCGTCCCTTTTCTCGGAGCATGTCTTGAGGGGGAACGACAGCTGGCCATCGCTCTGACGTCCATTCCCTGTGTCTTTTTCGGTTCCGTGCGTGGTTTCTTCGCCAAATGATCAAGGATGCTTCTCGATGGTCCTCCCCGAGAGAAAAATGCACACGTCCGAGCGATGCCAAGACAGGGGAGGGGGGCCGGGTCAAGCGGGAGAGACATGGACTTGGAATCGTGGCTGCCTCACCGACAGATCGGCGATAGGACCCCAGCAGCGAAACCGCAAATTCCTGGGCGGGGTGGGATATCGGGCCCGCATCGGCGACGAATACACGATTGGCGCTCGATGAATCCCCCCTGAGCCTATCCCCCCTAACATTGCCCCTGATCATTGATCATATGTAAGCCCGCAGCACCCTCCCGTCCCCCTTGTCATCCTCCCTCTTCTCAGCGGCGAGAGAGATGGGGAAATGAGACGGGGCGGGCCTTCTCAGCAGGCTCGGAAGCCCCCCCGCCTTCTGAGAAGTCTTCTAAGCCTTCCCAGAAGACACAGACACTACTCAGAAGGCGCGAGGGCTTCTGAGAAGTCCCGCCGACTTCTGAGAAGGCCTTCTCCTTTCGGCGGTGGATAAACCTCCCTTTAGTAAACCTTCCCTTAGTGAAAACGGCCTGGGACCGAAACCGACGGACCTGGACCCGCAAAAAATGACGGCCGCGACGCCCTCTCGCGAACCGAAAACGGCTAATTCACTAATCGACGTGTCAGGATAGGAGGTTTATCCACCTCCGATCCTTCTCACTTCCCCCCCCTCGCTCGTCGCCGATCTTCTGGCCCGGGGGAATCCCACGCCAAGGCCAAGGGAAAACTCTGTATGCGGGGCCCGTTCTGCCCCCTCCCTGCGGCCTGCGCTGGGGACACGCCTGGGCGAGGGACACGATCTGGCCATCGCTCGGACGTCCATTCCCTGTGTTTTGTTCGGTTTCGTGCGTGGCTTTTTCGCCAAATGATCAAGGGTGCTCATCGATGGTCCGCGACGAAAGAAAAATGCACACGTCTGAGCGATGCCAAGCGATTCCCAGCGATACCGTCAACGAATGCGGTCCAAGAGGCAAGGGTTCGACACTGCTCTTGACGATGCTGACTAGAGGTGATGTTGGGAACCAAATTGTAGGAAACTGCGAACCGCACATTCCTACGTTTCCACTGCGAATGGTTCCAGCGAGCACGACACAGCGAATTGTAGGAAAGCGCGAGCCATGCGTTCCCACAATACCGAAACCTACGTCGCCGTTACCTACATCGCCGTTAGCCCGTCTACGGACTGAGTGGACCCTGGGGGGTCACTCAGCCTGCGGGCCATAACCCTTGCCTCCGGCGACCCTTCGCGGGCGATCTGGGCATCCGCCGAACGCTCTTGGCGAGGCGCAGCCGATGGAGAGCACCGCGGGGCCCGAAATCCTCCAAAAAGCAACGAAAACATCCGCGCACTTCGCCCCGGGGGGGGGGGGCACAGACCCTCCACCTGCACCTTCCATACCCTCCGACCTCCGCGGAAGGTGCGGAAGAATTCATCGAAACGCATGGGAACCACACGTAAGTCAAAGAAACCCAAATAGATCACATCGAGAAAGGGGCGGAAAGGTAGGGCGGGAGGCACGGAAGAATTGAGGGGGAGAGCAGGGACAAACTGCATGCGCGCAAACTTCAGAAGCTCCGCGCAGGTTTCTGGGATCTGCCCTGGGCCCCGCGCCAGAGGCGGCAGCTCTGGAGCCCCAGCCCGCCGATCTAAGGTCGGACAGAGGGGGACGTAAAACTCGGGGTCGGGGAGCTCGAGTTTTACCAGCCTCGAACGTATCCTTCTCCCTAAAATTGACACGCCAGAAGGCGATGACAATCTTAGGGATTCGCCCTGAAAAAATTAGGGAATCCCTAAGATTGGCATCGAGATGAGGAGGTGCCCAGCATAGGGATAGGGATATGTTCCAGGCTGGTAAGGGCTGGCCTGACGGGGCCATCATGTAAACGACGAGACCCAATATGACATTTGACGCGAACGCCGCGAACTCCCGCCGTGAAACATCCCCCAAAAACTGGGCCGTCAGACTCCAGGACGCGCTGGTCAAACAGCGCCGGCAAACCCGAGTTCCGGCGCACTCGGGTCTTACGTTTCCTTGAAATGTTTTCCTCTCCGAGATGGGGCGGGCCAGGACGATATGAAAGGCCTCCTCGATGGGGCCGGAGTAGATGGGGTCGGAGGATCGCCGCCGCATCGCCGATACATCGGCGATGCACCAGCAATGCATCGGCGGTGCACCGGCGATACATCGGCGACGTCGACGTGAAGCGAATCGGGCTGCACGTCGAGCCGCACCGGCGATGCCTCGGCGATGCGCCGCGCTCCTCCGACCCCACCCACTCCGACGCTCGCCATCGCTCGGACGTCCATTCCCTGGGTTTTTTGTTCGGTTTCGTGTTTTTTTTCGCCAAATGATCAAGGATGCTCCTCGATGGTCCTCGCCGAAGGAAAAATGCACACGTCCGAGC